TATAGGTCAGTGGCATTAAGTACATTCCCATAGTTGTACAGCCATCACCACCAATGATCTCCAGAACTTCTGTCTTCCAAATTGAAACTCTGACCCTATTAAACTCCCCATCTCCCCATTCCCCTCCCCCAGCCCCTGGCACCACCATCTATTCTCTGTCTCTTTGAACCTGATTCCTCTGGGGACCTCCTATGAGTGTGATCACACTGTATTTGTCCCTTTGTGTTGGGCTTATTTCACAGAGCATAATGTCTTTAAAGTTCATCCCTGCCATAGGATGTATAACAAATACTTTTTTAGTGTAGATATTTCACAAATATTCTACAAGACAAATACTGCCTGGAACACACTCATCCTAAAAAAAGTATTTGTTGTGTATCTGAAATTCAGATTTAACTGGGCATCTTGAAATTTATCTAGCAATTCTACCTGTAGTCCTTCTCCACATAGCAGCCAAAGGGACCTTAAAAAAAAAAAAAAACCCCACAAAAAACAGCTCTATTGATATATAACTTACATATGATAAAATTCACTGGTTTTAAGTGTACAATTGAATTAATTCTATTGTATATTTACAGAGTTGTGTGACCATCACCACAATCTAATTTAAAAACATTTCCATCACCCTAAAAAGAAACCTCATATCCATTTGCAGTCACTTTAGATTCCTACTCTCAGCCCAAGACAACCACCGATCTACTTTCTGTCTTGAAAGATATACCTTTTGGGGACATTCTATTAAATACCATATGATGTTGGATGGTAGAATATGTGGTCTTTTGTGACTGGCTTGTTTTGCTTAGCATATTGGTTTTGCAGTTCAGCCATGCTGCAGTATGTATCAGTGCTCTGTTTCTTTTTATTGCTTAATAGTATTCATCATAAGGATATATTACGTTTGATTCATCCATTCACCCACTGATGGACATTGGATAATTTCCTCCTTTGGGCTGTTGTGAATAATGCTGCTGTGACTATGAATGTAGAAGTTTTTGTGTGGATGTTTTTTATTTCTCTTGGGTAGATACCGAGGGATACAATTGCTGAGTCAGATGGTGAGTTTATGTTTAATTCTGTAAAAAAAGAAAAAAAAAGTCTTTTTGAGCTATATTTCACATGCATAAGAATATGGGATGGAGCCGGCCGAGTGGCGCGATGGTTAAGAACTCGCTTGGGATGCCAGAGGACCCCGGTTCGG